CACCCACACCCACACCCCATCATAAAGGAATTACATGTAACAGATTAACGCTATATAGTATGTAAACTTTAAATATTAGACTAAAAAACCTCACTTATACAATATAAATGAAATACAATAGACAAAAAGCATTTAATATATAACAATTACCTCTTAATGCACTAATATGTAAGTTCTACTTTATAGATAAATATAATGTTACAGAAAAAAAAATCTATCTTCCACAAATATTATTAATATTAAACGAATAAGACGCAATTTACACATTATAAATGGATTAAAAATGATAGAAAATGTAAAATATAAATATTATACAATAAATCAATTAAAACTAACTTACACATCATAACTTAGTTATCTGTAATCATTCAACAATACACAATATATAGAGTATAAATTTTATAAGATAACATAACCTATACATAGTGAAAAAGCATTTGAAGAATTAAAGCTATATCATGCATCAATCGTAAAAATGTTATGTATCTGATGTATAAAAATTATTATATAATAAACTCTCACACTAATTCAGACCGGGGCGAAAAAGAAGTGAGTATGTGGTAGGTTATCATGTGATTTTTGTTCAAATATAGTTTCACTTTATACCAACAAAAAACATCCACTTTCCTACTTCAAATACAACAATACATTTATAAGCCTTCTCATACAACCCTTCATAGAGCAATCAAAGATATGCAAAACTACAACGATTTTCGACAATATAGTTAAGCCAAACGACAAAAATACAATACCACAAACAAACCAGATAAGCTATGCTAATACCAATATCGGAAATTGTGTGAGCAGTCCATTCCAAACATTCAGAACGAGACAGAGATTATGTAACTCACTTCACCACACCCATATCAGGAGAGCGGGGTTTAACTTCCTTCACCACAATTCATCGGGGCACAAAAGACATAACTACCTTCGCTACACACATATTGGGTCAGCAACGAGGTTCCACTCTTCGCCACACCCATATTGTGTCGGAGATCATGCAACTCTTTTTTCCGCATCTACACCGACAGCCTGAGCATGTGACTCCTTTCGTCACACTTACATCGAGACAGTGAGAATGTGATGCCCTTCGCCACACTTACATCGAGAAAGTGGTGGCGCAATTCCCTCCGGTACACCAGCATTGTGGTAGTGGTGATGTAACTCCTTTCGCCATACCCACACTGTGGCAGAGATGATTTAACTCTGTTTGCAACATCCACATCGTGTGAGTGGTGACGCAATTCTCTTGGGTACACCCACAATCCGCTCGCGACGATGTAACCCCTTTCGTCACACCCACATCTTCGTGACCATGATGCAACTCTCTTTGCCGTATCCACATCGAGAGAGTGAGAATGTAACTCCCTTCGCCACATTTACATCGAGAGAATGGTAACGTAACTACCTCCGGTGCATCGACATTGTGGTAGCGATGATGTAACTATTTTCGCCATACCCACACTGTAGCAGAGATGACGTGACTCCCTTTGCTCCATCCACATCAAGAGAGT